TTGGTTTTTCCTTAAATAACTTGTTTACTAGGCCTTTTCTTTTCATTTTTCTTCATTGAGATAGTTTAATATATAGGATGAGCTACCTTTCTAAAGTGCTTTTGGTTTGGTGTTTTTTGGTCATTTTTGCTTAGGTATTCACTTTGTTGGTTTTTCACTTATGCATTAATGATAACATTTTTGGATGTGTAACATTTATATGGGGGTACATGATTCTATACATGGTGTAAATACTATTTTTTGTAAAAAAAAAAAAAACAAGGCAAAATTAATGAATAGGAATACTAAATATATTATCATTAAGAATTTTTGTGCATTAATCTGACCATAATTTCTCTGCAGATTATGATCCTATAACTTGAGTCTGTAATTTTTATTAACTAGATTATTTTTTGGCATAAATGATCATTACAGTTATCCTGATCTGATTTAAAGCCAAATGCATGCATACAAAAGGATCTTTCTGTTAATGGAAGATGGTGCTTTGGGGTGTAAGTTAGAAAAAGACTAATCATCTTATGCTCATTTATGCTATTATGTTTTTCTTGGTTCCCTCCCTGAGCTGTGGACTGGCGCCTCCCTGGACTGACAGAGTTTATCTCAGGGAGGCCCTCACTGCGTGACTGCCTCCTTTTGGTTACAATTCCCACTCTAAAACCTGTTGGTAATTCCTTTCAAATTCATTTTCTAACTAAATGATGTGTCTGACAATTATTATTTTATCTTACATTATCTTAGACCTGAGAACTATTGTGTTGTACCTTATTTCAATTGCTTATTAACGATTTGTCAGTTTTTATCCTTGTCTTCGTGGTTCCTTCATTGTGTATTTCATAGTGACCAGAGTGATGCTTTAAAATATGTCATTTATATTCACATCCCTTTAATGGCTTTTCATCCTTAAGAATAAAAGACCAAAATTTTTAAATTTGTTCTGATTAGTTACACATAAGATTAGAATGCATTTTGACATATCCTACATAAATGCAGTATAACTTCTTATTCTTCTGATTGTACATGATGTAGAGTTACACCAGTGGTGTAATCATACATGCAACATAGGGTAATAATGTCCGATTAATTCTATTATCCTTCCTCCCCTTCTTTCATTCCCCTCTGTCTAATCTAAAGTATCTCTATTCTTCCCTAGCTGCCTCCCACCCCACCCCCCTTATTGTGAATTAGCATCCACATAACAGAAAAAAACATTTGGCTTTTGGTTTTAGGGGATTTGGCTTATTTCACTTAGCATAATATTCTCCAGCTCTATTCATATACCAGCAAATGCCATACTTTCATTCTTCTTTAGGCTGATAATATTCCATGTGTATATTTTCTTTATCCATTAATCTATTGAAGGGCACCTAGGCTGGTTCTATAGTTTAGCTATTGTGAATTGAGCTGCTATAAGCATAAAAAGAAGAAATGGGACCAAATAAAGACTGAAATCCAGCTAGATAAACAAGTTCTATAGTTCACATCCAGCATCAGGGTGCCTGGCATTTTGATGTTCTCCCCAATGTGCTTGTATCGCTCCACCTCTATGGCCTTTGAATGTTACATCACATATGGCCTCTCTTTAGCCTTGTTTCTTCTCAATTCATGCAGTTTTCCTTTGCAGATGTTCCATGGTACTGGCATCTCTTAACCTTGAGAGATCTCCAATGCAGCTTCAACTTTTTTTCACATATTCACACACTTCCATTTCTTCTTTTTATGCCCCTATTTCTCCTTTATGGAATGGAAATGTTTATTCTGTGCCATTGTATCTTGGAGATATATATATATATATTTTGATCTTTATTCTCACAGTTAAGAGTTTACCTTGAGTCTCAGATACATTGCTGATTTAAACTTTGTGGCAATGCTGGAACCATTGAGACTATGGGGAATCTTGAAAATGGATTAAACATATCTTAACTTGTGATATAGGCATGAACTTGATGGGACCATAGTAGAATATTGTGTTTCAGATATATGGTTTCCCCAAAAAGCTTATGTGTGATGCAATGTAAGAATGTTCAGAGGTGAAATGATTAGATTATAAGGGGTATAGCCTAATCCATGAATTAATCCACTGATATGTATTAACTGGTTGGTAACTGTAGGAAGATAGGGTGTGGCTGGAGGAAGTCAGTCACTGTGGGTATGCCTTTGGGACTTACATTTTGTCCTTGTTGAGAAGAGATATCTGTTTCAATCTACACACACACACACACACACACACACACACACACTCCTTCCTGGTTAACATGTCTTGAGCTGCTTTCCTCTGCCAACCCTTTCCTCCATATGCTCTGCCTCAGCTCAGGCCCAGAGCTGTCGAGATGCCTGATCATAGACTAAATCTGTAAAATCATGAGCCAAAATAACTTTGTTCTCTAAGTTGTTCTTGTTTGTCATTTTGGTCACAGCAACAAAAAGCTGATTTAAAACGTCCAGTAATTGTTTGCTGATGATATCATTCTATATTCAGAAGACCCCAAAAATTCCACCAGATGACTTCTAGAGCTGATAAATGAATCTAGCAAAGTAGCAGGATACACAATAAACACTCAACAATAGCTTTCCAGTACTCTAACAGTGATTCATCTGAAAAAGAAATCAAGAAAACTACCCTTTTTATAATAACTTCAGAAAAAATAGAAACATTTGGGAATTAATATAACCACAGAGATGAAAAATCTCTACATATTTAAAAATATAGAAAACTTGCCTGGCATGTGTGAGGCACTGGTTTCGATTCTCAGCACCACATATAAATAAATAAATAAAGGTCCATCAAAAAAAATATGTAGAAAACTGACAAAAGAAATTAAAGACTTCAGAAGATTGAAAGTACTCCCACATTCCTGGATAAACAGAATTAATATCATTAAAATCGCCATACTAACAAAAGATATAAACACATTTAATGCGATCTCCGTAAAAATTTCAATGACATCCTTACCGTAACTAGAAAAGAAAAACAGTCCTTAAATGCAGGTGGAAGAATAAGAGATTTAAAATAGCCAAAGCAATTCTGAACAAGAAAAGTGATGTAGGAGGCACCACAGTACATGATCTCAAATTATACTACAGAATTATTTTTTTTAAAGAGAGAGAGAGAGAGCATTTTTTAATATTTATTTTTTAGTTTTCAGTGGACACAACATCTTTATTTTATTTTTATGTAGTGCTGAGGATCGAACCCAGCCCCCTGTGCATGCCAGGTGAGCACGCTACTGCTTGAGCCACATCCCCAGCCCTATACTGCAGAATTCTAATAACAAAAACAGCATGGTATTAGGATCAGATTAATACAACCATTATGGAAAGCATTGTGGTGATTTCTCAAAAAACCAGGAATGGAACCACCATATGAGTCAATTGTCCCACTCCTCAGTATTTATCTGAAAGAACCAAAATCAGCATGGTATAGCTATAGCCACTTAAGTGCTTAATAGCAGCACAATTTACAATAGCCAAATTATGGAATCAACCTGGAGACCTATCAATAGATGAATGGAACAAGAAAATGTGGCATATATCCACAATGGAGTTTTAGTCCTTTCAATCTTCTGAAATAATGGTATTTGCCTATAAATGGATAGAAATGAAAAAAAAAATCATGCTAAGTGAAGTAAGCCAGACCAAGAAATTCAAGAGTGAATGTGGAAGCTAGAGCAAAATAAAGGAAAGAAGGTCATAAGAAAAGGAGATCATTGCAATAGAAGGAAAATGAAGGAGGAAGGAAGGAAGGGAAAGGGAAAGAAAACTGGAATGAATTTACCAAAATCCTGTGGTATACATATATAAATGTACAAAAGGAATTTTCACCTTTAAGCATATGTAGTAAATGCCAATCAAAAATAAATAAATCAGGAAGTGAAAGGAAGATCAGTAGAGGATAGAAAGAAGAATATGGGGAGGGGGGAAGAAGGAAAAGGGGAGGATGGGAATTAAAATCAAACTCTTTACATGTATGATATTTTCAAAATGAATCCAAATACTTTGTATAATGTTCTAATTTTAAAAAAAGCAATAATTTAACAGCTTCCTCCACAATACTGATATAATTTTCATACTAAAATTTTCTGCATCATTTGGACTGAAATTATCTTTAATTCCTCTTATTCTTTCAATAGTAACTTAGTTCCATATATTTATTAAATTTGCTATTTTTCTTATTATTTTGTAACTTAGAATATATTTAGTGGATTGATAAAATGCTTATTTCTGTCATCTCTGATCTCCATTAGGTCTTAGAAAACATGACTTACTTACCGTCCATGAATTATTAACCTTGAAATATCAAAAATTTATATTTTCATTGGTTCCTTATTCAGTGCCACATTATGACTTTGTTTGGCCCTGGATACGTTTGTTTTTGTGCTCCCATTTCTTCACTTACAAAAAAATTTTTTTTACAAATGTGTTGATATATAACATATGTGATCTATTCTTGGTTTATTATTAATTACTTTTCTTACTAACATACTCATATTCAAATTTTTCTTTGCTTTTAAAAGAAACAAACATTAAAATATTTTTATTTGGTCCTGAAAGTCTTTTGGGCCTCAGTCACTGTATGCACTGTGTCTAATAAATAAAAGCCCTGACATCATTGCATACAAAGACAAATATTATCTTTTAAACATTGTTCTAAAATTTTTACTGTTGGGTAACTAACCACATTTCATATCCCAGTTAAAATTTAATTTTATTCATTACCATATCTTTAATTACCTTAAGTATTTTGGATAAAATTTCTTAAACTGGCTAAACTTTTCCTAAGTGACTATAATCATACAAACACACACAAAGACAATAATTCATTAGGTAAAAGACCTTGGATTTATTTATTTATTTCTAAATAAGGAATGCAAATTTAACGTAAGGCATTTATTAGTAAAACTGCAGTAGCCCTACATTTATTGATTCAATTTTTATTTCAATAACAAAAGTTTATTTTATGACTATATTTCTGAAACATTGTTTTTAATCTTTAATATTCATAGACATACTACAATTGTTCTTGCATTAAAGCGGGATTAACAACTCCAGATGTAGAAGGTGATTTTATTGATGCCAGGCCTGGGAAATGTGATACCAAGTGTCTTACATTACCTGTGTTTTTCGCTTTGGTTTTTTCTGCAGTTGTTTTTGCTAGTTTTTCTGATGTGCCACTTACGCTAATCATCTTCCGGTAAGTATATAGTATTTGTAATTATCTTTAATATAATACATAAGAAATATGAATTTAGAAATATTTCAGATTATCATAGTAAATTATTTTCTCTGTATTGTATGATAACAGAGGAGAAATTGTTACATTGTCAAAATTTATGTATATGTTTAATTCTTTTAATTTATTTGCATAAAATATACAAATGTAACATTTAGTTTAATTTTTACCTAAAATTAAGAGTATACATGTATTGAAATAGTACTCCTTACATATGTAAAATTTTAGGTTTTTATGCATCAGGTACAAAAAAAAAAAAACCTTGAATAAACAACCCAATAGAATTATACTTAATCTAACCCATGGAAAATTAATAAATCAGAAAATTCTTAATTGTAACACAGTTGTGAGTTTAAAGTTAATTTGTTGGTTATAATTATTTATTGACTAATTCTATTTTAGCCAATTAAATTATGAGAAAATATCTGTGTCATCAATAAAGGAACATAACTTTTAAAATTTCCATACATAAATATATTATTCTAAATACAACCAACATTTGTTCTCCATGTTTTCTTTCCATATATATGATACCCATTTAACACTCATTTTTATCCTAATTAGGCATTATTTTTTAATTATTGTTTTCAAGAGGTTAACAGGAACCTTTGAGTCATAAAGTACCTGTAGGTTGACCAGGTAACAAAGTGTGGAAAGTAATAGTTTCTATCTGGGATCATTGGGAAATAGTATAGAGCATGACTTGTACTTGGTTCAGAACATAAGTGATTTTTTTATAGTGTAAGCACACGGGACAAGAACTTCACAGGGAAAATGAGCAGAAAAAGTAGAGGCAAAAATGTATGAAATGTGGCAAGGAGTTTATTAAGACAGGAATAGCATGATGGGAGACAAAAACATCTAAGCCATTTAAGGGCTGGTCATGGGAAACCATTTATGTAATCTTATTGTGAATGGTGTTATCCTATGCACATAACTGGGAGCCACTGAAAATAGTAAACCTCAAGGGTATAAATAATCAAATGTATGTCTTAGATGTGATACATCGAAGATAGTGTGGAAGATGGAGCTGAGCAGAGAAATGAAAAGAAATTAGAACTAAAAAGAACAAATAAAAAATTTAAAGAAAGAAAAGTAATTAGAATTTAGTAGTATTGTTTAGAGATAGATTCAGAACATATTTGGGAATTATCTAGTTTGGTTAAAATGATGAGCATGGGTATCAGGGGAGTGAGGGGCACAGAGGTAGAAGCCAGAAGGATTTAGAAGATGTTCTAGATGTTTAATTATGATTTCTCTGATGGGAATCTTCCCAACCCTGCTTTCCCTGGCAAGCATTTGCAGGGCTATGTACTTTAACCTTATGCTGATATTTACCTTTAGGTGTCACTTTTGTTACCAGCACACTTTTGACCTAACCATAGTACTTTTAGTAGAGGATTTTCACCCATGTGCATGGAAGAGATGTTCATGGTACATTGTAAAACAACAATAAAAACCATTTTTTCAGAACCAAAAAAATAATAAATAAAATAATGAGTGTTATTAATTTGATGTGCCAAGTATGGAATATACAGAAATAGATGATAATATTTAGACTTCAAGTTTAGAGAACTGAATGAATGATTACTCCATTAATTAAGATTGTAAAGTCAAGGAAAATAGAAAACTCAGATTGAAGGTGATTATTGCAGTGTTGAATATGCCTTATTTAAAGTTGATGTGAAATATCCAAGCAATTGTTCTCAGCAGTAAGATGAAAGAAATGATCATAATATTCCAAAGGCTCAGTTCTGAATCTTCTCACTTCCCTTGAAAATCAGGCAGCACAATAAGGAAAATAACACATAAACACACACTATAATTCCAATACAGCTAGGAGATAAACAAAAGAATAGTAAAGTTGAAATTATGTTTAAGTGTTGCTAAAGTCGAAGCGGGACTGAAAGTCAGCTTGTGGATTCACAAAAATTTTTATGAAGAATAGGAAATGTGGAGAGGACCTCTGAATTGACAGATCTCAGATTTGTCTGGCACATATTTCTGCTCAGAAACAGAGGGACACACATTGAGATGGATGTTCAGGAATCAGAGTCAGGCCTAGGTAGATAAGTAAAGGTAGAGTCTCTCTGGATCAACAATAAGAGGGAAACTTGAAGAGTTCCTAGGAGGTCCAGGCCTGGCAAACAAAAAGTGCCAGCAATATAAACTAAATGAATGCATAAGCTTCAAAAGCAAAAATGTGTAATGAGAGCTCAGAAACATAGGATTGGCGGTAGAAGTTCTTTTGAAGTAGGACAGATTTGAAGAGGCAGAGGATTTGTTGCTATACTAGTCATAATAGTCCTTATTTGGAAATAATACTAACTGTACAATTAATGAATAAATTTTGGCATCTTCATACAATGGACTACTACAGAGTTGTGCTGAACAGTATGGTGATTATTAACCATTTCTGCTCTGTAAGTTAAATTCTGTCTTCATATATGTTTAATTCAGTGTTAAATTGACCTGTTGAGTAATTAAGTTCTTAATTCTAGTTATAGTATTTTCATTATGGAATTTCACTTCTTGCTTTTTAACTGAATTTAATTCTCTGATAAAAATTCTCTATCTTGTATTTTTTGAATATATTAAGCCCAAAAATTTAAGATACATGCCAGATATATAATATCTGAAGATTCTGCAAGTTTATTTATATTTATTTTTTTCCACATTATTGTTTAAACTCCATTTTATTTCTTGGTCCTGCCTCATAAAATTTACAAATAATATTTTAAAGATCATATGTTGTATTTTGCATTTCAAAAACAATAGAGGCTCTGGGTATTACATAACTCCCCAAAATTAAATGTAATTTTAATCAGGCAGCTAGAATAAGGATAGTTACCTGGTGATAGATTTAGGATTTTTTCATTTTTATTTTTAATTTCAATTATAATTATAAATTCATTAGTTGTACAGGTTAATGGGTTTTTTTGACATGCCTATACATGCATATATCATGCCTTGTTTGAAAATGCACCTTCTCCTCTTTCACCCTCCCCTCTCCTTACCTGTTTCTACTTTTCAGTCATTGTTTTTTATGTTTCCACAAATGAGAGAAAACATGCAATACTTGCCTTTATATATCTGACTTCTTTCACCTACATAATGACATTAGTCAACAACAACAACAAAAGTCTATCAACCAGTGGACTAAAGATCTGAACAGATATTTCTCAAAAGACCAAATACACATGGCCAATAAATATATGAAAAGATTTTCAATGGCTTTAGCTACCAGGGAATTGCAAATCTAAGCTACTCTGAAATTCCCTCTTATGCCATTCAGAATGGCTATTATTTTTTTTATTAGCTACATGACATTACAATGATCTTGGCAATTCATACATTTGAATCAATTGGGGTATAATTTCTCATTTTTCTGATGGTACAGATTGCAGAATCACATTGGTCATACAGTCACCTATATACATACAGCAATCATAATGTCTATTCTATTCTGCTGCCCTTCCTATCCCCCCTTCCCCTCCCCTCCCCTCCCATCACTTCTCTCTATCCAATCTAATGTGACACACTTTTTTTTTCCTTTTTCTTCTCACAACATCATACATGTATTCTGTATAATAATGAGGGTCTCCTTCCATCTTCCTTGCAATTCCCCTTCTCCCTTCTTTTCCCTCCCACTTCTCTTCCCTATTTAGTGGTAATCTTCTTCTCATGCTGTTCCTCCCTATCCCATTTTGAGACATCCCTCTTATATCAGAGAAGACATTTGGCATTTGTTAGAATGGCTATTATTAAAAAAAAAAAATATATATATATATATATATATATATATATATATATATAAAATAAATGCCCGTTAACAATATTGAGTAAAAGAAACCCTTATAGACTACTGGTAAGAATGTAAATTAGTGCAGCTACTATGGAAACTACTATACTACTATAGAGGCTCCTCAGAAAATTAAAAATGTAACTACAAAGTGATCCAGCTATACCACTTTTGGTATATAACCCAAAGAAATGAAGCCAGCATACAAAAGAAATACCCATATACATCACAGTAGTCACTATTGCCAAAATAAAGAACCAGTATAGGTATACATCAGCAGATGAATGAATAAAAAATATGGTGTATATACACAATAAGGGGATATAACTCAGTTGGTAGCTTGTTTGCCTCGTATGCACAAGGCTCTGGGTTCAATCCCCAGCACCACAAAAATAAAATAAAAATATATGCACAACAAAATATTATTCAATAATAAAGAGGAATGAAGTTGTACCATTTGCAGACAAATGGACGACACTTTGCGTTTAAGTCTTTAAAAGGCCTTTAAAAGGCTTTATCAGAAGCCAGTTCCCTATTTATCCTTAGATACAGTCTATCTAGGGGATTTGATTGAAAATAATGTATATTAAATATAAAAATCTTAAATTTTGTGAGATTTGAATTCCATAATTATATTTTCAGTTATAATAATAAAACTTTGAAGATCAACATTACCACTTTACATCGCACAAGAAAAATGACCAATACATTTAGATAAAAATTCAGTAAGACAACATATAAATCAATACACTTTTTAATTTTCTTGTAAAAATCAGATAAAAAGGAAAATGGGAGAAAAGAACTCTTTTTAATTTTTTTTATTCTAATTTGTTATGTATGACAGCATAATGTATTACAATTCATATTACACATATAGAGCACAATTTTTCATATATCTGGTTGTACACAAAGTAGAGTCATACCATTTGTGTCTTCTTTTAGAAGAAAATGAAGGAGGAGAAAATGGAAGAGAAGTAGAAGAAAAACCTATAAATTAACAAGAAATGTTCAAAGCCTGTATGAGAAAAAAATGAAAATATTTCTGAAGGCACCCTATAGGGTCAGAGTTGAGAACACCAGTTACTAGGGTAGTACATGAATGGAGATTGAGGGATGGAGCACGGGACTTGCAAACAAAAATAGATAGCACTGAATAGATGGGATGTCAGATATTTTGTTAATGATGCTGATTATATGTCTCTATGCATAGAAGAAAATCACATAGAACTACCTGCATACATACACACAATTTTAATTTAAATATTTTTAAAAATCTATATTAGCTACAAATGAAAACAGAATAAGGTCTATAGTCTAGTTAGCACTAATTTTCCAATGTCAGTTGCTTGATTTTGATGTTGTGTTATTGTATTGTATTGTATTAAGGTGTCATCATGGGGGGGGGGTGAGCTGGATAAAGATAGCATTTTTATAACTTCCTGTGGCTATCATACTTTTAAAATAAAAAGTTAAAAAAAAGAAAAAGAAAGAAAAAGAAAACATGCATAAATACACCCCTGAATGTACCCAAAGCAGGAACAAAGTAGTTCAAGTCTTATTTGACTTGAACAAATAAGAAGGCTAGAGCTCATCCAGGCACTATAATCCCAGTGGCTTGGGAGTCTGAGACAGGAGGATCAAGAGTTCAAAGCCAGCGAGGCACTGAGCAACTCAGGCAGACCCTGTCTCTAAATAAAATACAAAAATAGGGCTGGGGATATGGCTCAGTGGCCAAGTGTCCCTCAGTTCAATCACCAATACCAAAAAAAAAAAAAAAAAAAAAAATAGGAAGACTGAACACTATAACTATCTCAATTCTTCTTAAAGTATCAGTAATTTCAATTTGACAATGAATATATGAAGAGACTTTACAAGTTACTCAATCTGATTCTAAAGTTTTTATGAAAAAACAAAAGTAACATTAAGTAAAATAAAGATCAGACTCATAAACTAAATATAACATAAAACCTTAATAATTTAAAAACAGTACAGATTTAGGAACAAACTGATAGTAAGTATAGCAATAAATCCCCAATCACATGGAAATTTTATATATAAATTTCCCCTCAAGAGCAGGGGAAAAAAAGACTGTTAGGGAAGAGGTTTCAAACTAATTGAATAGACTTGTGGGGAAATCTTATCCAGATCTCATGCGATAGCCCTGAAAAAATCATATAGAACAAAGACTTAAATATGAAAAAAGAAAATGCTAGAAGAAAACAAAGAAAACTGGTTAATTTCTATTTATCTTTAAAAATAGGTAACTTAAAACATGACTCAAAATCTAGAAGAGGCTAAATATTGATAAATTTTATTGCATAAAATAAAAAAAGTCAAAAGTTGAGCAAAAATTATCATTTGAAAGCCATATTCTGTAAAAAGGATTAATCATTCTAATATATAAAGCACCTAAAATTAACAAAGTATAAAATAAAATATAAATAAAAATATGAAAATATGCTTAGACACACCAATAATAGAAGTTTCTGGGGAAATAGAAATTAAAAATATAATGTGATTATTTTTCTTATATATCCAGTTGATAGGAGTAAAACTTTAATAATAGAATTTGCATGAATGTTTATAAAAACAAATACTCATATATTGCTTGAGAGAGTACAAAATGGTACAGTCCTTATAAAGGACTATCTACAAAAACAAAATTACAATGTGTGATGCCATAAGTCTTATGCTAACACTGACTGTACTTCTACTTTTTTAAATCTGGGTAACTTTTTTTTTTCAGAGCTTTAGAGTAACACACAGTGGATGGGTTCATCCTTACAAACTTACACATGCATGGAAATTGATTTTAGTCCATGACCGCCCCCCCGCCCAGGCTTTTTCCTGCCATATTCCCTCCCTTCTCCTATTCTCCTTCCTGTACTCTACTTGACTTCATTTTGTTCACCTATTAATTTATATTTAATTGGTTCTTTATATTATCTTACACTTCCCCCCCCCCTTTCCTTTATTTTAGTTGGGTTTCCACATATGAGAGAAAACATTTGACCTCTGAGTTTGGATTTTTTCACTTAGCATGATATTCTACATTTCCATCCATTACTGGCAAATACCATAGCTTCATCCTTTTTATTGCTGAGTAGAATTCATATATATAT